GCTGAACTGACAGTGCTCTCACTTAGGACAGGCTGAATGGGGGGCTCGCTGGAGATTTCTGGTGGAGATACTTCTCTAAGGCCTTATTCCAATCACAGCAGCTACGCAAGATGTTACCCTAACCCCTTCACAAGTTGCAGGAAAGCTGGAATTCCCGAGTCTGATACACAGGGAGGGACAGGTGTTTTCAGGGATTGTCCTCTGCTGTACAGCTCTCAGTGGCTGTGATACCTGGAGACACTCCACATGATAACCATTCACCATTTTACCTTCCTGTCCCAGCCTTCCACACTTCAGTATCAATGTAGCATATATTTGAACTCACAACACTCAGTTCTCTTCAATACTATTTAATACATACATACGCCAACCAATAAGAGATGAAAATTGTGTTCTTTCTTGTAGAGAAGCTAACACCATCTTCCTATTTCTCCATTACCTACAGACTGGGTTGTCAAACCTTTTTTTTGGTCTTAACTCTTCCTTCGAGCATGCATATACACACACATGCATATATGTACACACACGTGCAAATACAAAGAGCACGTGTAACACCGCACTCCGAGGAGCCACTGGAGCTACTTCAAAATGATGGGTAGTGGAAGAGGTCTAGGACACAGCCAGAGCACACCACATCTGGGAAATGGGGGTTTAGCACCTCGCTGTCCCCAGGCACATCTTCTCCGTTTCAAGGTTACCTTCATTACATGGAGGACGGGGACCTGACCCTTCAAACACTTCTTGCAGTGTGCGTTTCTGTTGACGTCAGGAAGGCTGCACTGTATAACCAACTCTACATTCACTAATTGGTTTTTGAATAATTTAATGCAAAGAACAAGAGCTGTGCTTTAGGCTTATTTTCTCTTAAATCAAATTTCATTCATGCAGTCCTAGAGTACAACACACATGCATGGTTAAAGACAATTCTGCATGAAGACTGAATGCTTTGTGTCCTCTCTGCACCTTTTTGAACGATCAGTACTTCACAAAAGCATTTCCGTATCATTCCTCACAGTGTGTACCCAGTGTATCTCAGAATGATTTGTATTTCATTTTACACTTTACACATAACATCAGACGTGCATTTTAAGTATAAAAAATATGTTGTTAAAAGATCTTAATAGTAAATGTCATAAATCCAGAGTTTTCATCAAAGTATAAAATGATTCAAGACCTTTGGTGAATGGATGATGAAAAAGAAACATTTCCAAAAGCTACACATGATTTATGGCCTTATGCTACCAACAGCTGCCCAGTCAGCTCCGGGTTTCTGTCCTTTATTAATGCCACAGTAAGAGCCACAGCAGAATTTACTGTCTCCTGAAGCAGCAAATGGTCCTGTGGAAAAAAAAAAGAGCAAGCGAAACAATATGTTAACAGAAGTGGAAAAAGTAAATATATAAAACTGATTTTCAAGTATGCAAAATTACCATATGACTTGAAAAAAATGAAAACCACTTATTTGCACTTATTAGAAGAAGAACTTCTAAAACTTGTACTTTAAGGAAACACAATTTCATAGTAATATCCATTTGCCAATCTCCACGACGATTTAAAAAGCAAAATTATTTTTTAAAAAGGAATACATTAAAATTGCTAGAATTAATGCCATCTATCCAGAGACCACCAAACCAGAAGCTTGATTCCTAACTGATTTTTAAAATCTAAAAGGTAGTCAAATTTTGGGTTTGAAAACATTGGAAGAAAACTGAGGATTTAATTGAGTAGCATAGTTAGAGACCTATAACTTTAAGCACCTACTGAAGCCCATCTGTAGTCTACAAACTACTTAAACTCACAAAGGCATTTAAGCGCTGGGACTTCAGTAGTTTAGGCTGATCTTTGTATCAAATGACTTTAAAAAGTAGTCTGGTTTTGATAGGCAATATAGAGACCAAGACAAGAAGTAATAAAATGAGACTTTGATTCCGTGCTTCTAACTAGAGCACTCCAGCTCACGTTTGAAAGAGTCCTTTGTCTAATTGCCAAGTTTTCTTAATTGTATTGACTATAAAAGGTTGGCCTCTTGTTACCAGTAACATTTTTGTTTGCGCACTGGGAAAATATCAATAGGTGTAGCCACGCACAGACACGTCCCTGGAGAGAGAAACAGGAGGGAACAATTTCTGTGAAGCAACAGAGAAAAAGAAAGGTCTACAAAACTGTCGGGAGAACCTAGAAGAGTTTCAAATACAGACGGGGAGCTACAAAGAGAAAGCAAGAGGTGTTCTCCGTATCCACAATGGATAAAACTGGAAGCAGTAGGCTTAAGGGAACTTAAACTGGGATAAAAGAAGTCAGGAAAGCGTTTTATCAGCAAGGACTGGTGTACAATGGAACAGATTATTGGACAGATTAAGGGAACTCCATCATTAGGCTCCTGTAACCTGAGACCCTCATACGCGGGAATGGGATGCAGGTACAGCTTCCCGCCTGGGGCAGACAGATGGAGCAATTTGATTCTGTATCATTTCACCACTGCTTTTCTAAGATGCTGCATCAAGGAATAATTTGTAGATGACATGTTTAAAACATTTGGATTAATGGAGAAAGAGGAAATGGTTTCAACAACTTATACAAAAACATAACATTAATCACTGCTTTTTAAGTCATAAGCCTACTGCTGAGGGGACCTACCTGTTCAGCTAGTCCAGAGGGGAGCTGGAGACTAAGAACTTGGGGCTGAAGGAAAACCTGATACGGGAAAAGTATCCCTGGAACACTCTAAAATATGTAGCATTATATTTTATAATGCTATTAACTTCTTGCTCTACATAAATTGCAGGAAAAACTCTAGACAGGTAAATGGATAGAATTAGAAATAGCTAGTTTATACCCGATTCTTTTATCATTCCTGGACAAATGATATTTGCACATAACTAGATTTTTATCCTACAAATGATCAAATAAGTAAGCTGTTACAATTTGTAAACCTGCAAAAGATTACACTCCTCACAAATTCACGTTCTTTATTCTAATATGCAGTAAAATTATTTACTAGTGGTCGAAAAAAATGTCTTAGAGTAAAAACGTTCACCACAGCTGTGTCTTGCTGCCTACTGAATGACACCTCCCATTCCGTCAAGCAAGGAGCGCAGAAGCGTACTCGGGTCCTGCTCCCCCGGTGCCTTTTGTCATGGACCGAGGGTGCAAAGAGCAACTCGGAATCCACTGCTCCAGTTTGGCGGGGGTCTCACTCCCTCGTTTCCCATGGGTATAAATTGCTGTACAATGCACAAGGAGAGCGGAAGTCACGTGCGTACACCTGCTCCGACGGCAAACGCCGCTTTCAAGACCTAGCAACGCATTTCTTGATACCCAGCAGTGCCAGTCTCTTTGAGCCCCTCATCGCTTTTTGTTCAGTTTGTCTCAAGGAGCACTGCACAATTACAGACACTGTTTTCCAAATGGGCTCCCAGCCATATCTGAAGTTGGCTGGAGGTGTGTATTTTTTTTTTTCCCATTTAACAAAAAAGAAAAAAAATACACCTGGCCAGGAATGCTCTTAATGTTTCTCTCAATAAATCTTTCCACATCTTCTGTTGGTTACTGGATTCAGTACACATTCCTTTGCAGTAATAAATTATTTAAGTTTTTGAACATAAAAAGAAGCAAGGGAAAGAAATTTAACTTTCACAGGAGAGATTGAAAGTGACACCACAGGATTCCTTTAGCCTGAAAAAAGCTTTTTCTAAAGCTAAATCTAAGGCTTTAGTGCTAATTTCTATGTTCTGAAGGAAAGACATGCAAAATGATGGGTAGTATTTATAACACAGGCAATGCGGCACAATAATGTGTACAGAAACCTGTGTGCAGAAGTGGTCTATAAACCACACTGAAAACAACTGCTGAATTGCAATTTGTTCAAAAAGAGAAACATAAAAAGTAAGCAGCACAAATTAAAATGCATTTGCAAGTTTTACAATTACTTCACTTCTAATAATCTGATTATTAATACTATTATTATAACTATTCCGGAAACCTACCAGTTCCTGTCTCTCTTGGAATCAATCCATACAATGGCAGGAGCAATGAACTGTCAAACTTTAAAGTATTTATCACAGGGGCTACTAATTTTTAGATTTCCGCTGTTGCTCCTTCCCAGTAACGCCGTCCCGGTTTGATCTCAGGGGCACCTATTCATTGAACAGGGTCCACCACCTGGGCCTGCGAGCCAGCCTCTGAGCGCAGGAGAAATCTGTGCCACAGAGGTCAAGTACACGACGATCTTAACTTGCTTTATTCTCACGGCCACAGTCTTACTGGAAAGAGGTAGTAAATAACGCAAAAAAATGGACTCTTCCAGGAATTCCAAAATCATTGTACATCTTGTATCTTTCCGAGAATCAAAACTCTCTCTTATGCTAGGAATCACTATTGTAGTACGCGATGGTCATAGCCTGTGCATAATGCATAACTTTGTTGATCATTTCTAGTCCTTATTATCAAGAAAAAGAGAACAGAAAAAGAAATTTTAGCAACTGAAAGAGAGCACATTGTTCAAAGAGTAGGCATAACTCTGACTGACACAATAGTTAAGTTGTATCTTAAGTATTCTTTCCTCTCTTCTGAATATTGCTGGGAATTTATTTCATCTTAGGCAATTACTGTGCAAGTAAGTGGATATTTTCAATGTGCCACAATGATACTTAGCTTTTTCCTTAGTAGTTACAGGTAATTTGGATGCCAGCAGTGTTTATAAAGAACATTAAAAAGAATTTAGATGACAGAATTCAACAACAACCCAGGAAAGAAAAAGAATCTTGTGGGTCTTTATTAATTTAAAGTTAAACTAGTAAGCGAACACTTCAAGGCCCCCAGCTATTTCCTTAAAACACCCATGTTTCTGACACTGCAATGTTATTTCTGGCAGCAGTGCTGATTACAGCTGATAGTACCTACAGGGAGGCTTCAGCAAGGATGCCAGGACAAATTCAATCTACCACACCTAACTCCATTGCACATACAGGCCTCCAGACTTCTTTTATATTCAACGGCGTAGCACTAAATCTTTCAAAAATCTCATTATTAGTTGCAGGAAGTCAAATAATCAAGCAGAGCCAGGTCCTCACACGTCTAATTGCCTGACGTGTTTGCATGTATTGTAACCACGATAAAAAACAGGATGTAGGAACAGAACGATCAATACAAATCCTCATGCAGCCCACAAGAGCTCTCGCACGTCGCTGCCCACCCGCCGCTCGGCGCTGCGGACTCCAAGCAGAGAACACACTTCAGCACGCGACTCAGCGACTGCGCATCCGTGCACGCGCTGGATGGATCAGACAGGAATCGTTCTCTTCCTCATCAATGAAATCCTTCAAAAAGACTGTGACCTTTAAAATAGACTCGGAGGCAGTAATGATTTTAGGGGATTAATGACTGAATTTCCACAGGATCAACTGGTGTGCCATGATCCCCCCTAAACCCCTGTGGTATTCGCTGTCTATTCATTTCACCCAGTCGACATAAATGAGTCTCTTGTAAAAAAGAAAAACCAAAACCCCCTAACATTTCTTGGCCATTAATAAATAGAATTTTTTATTGTTTGAACAGATGATTAACTACATTTATAAGCTAAAAACAAAACTTTTACCACTTTATATTTATGTACTTTGGAAAAGAAAGTACTCAGAAACACTGCCAACCTTATAAACCATAAATCCACATAACAGCACTTTGATTCCAAAATAAAATATCCACTTTGTCTGTTATTAAATAGTAAAAATATTCCAACACAACCATATTGTGTGAGGGTTGTAACTCATATTCAGATTTTATTTGATGTAGAGTTACTGACTGGAGGGGTTTTCTGGTCTGCAGAATAAGACTGGGAATGGATACAGGGACAGAGTTAAAGTTGTGTTTGGAATATGCAATCTGATATTTTACAAATGTGCATTTATTTAAGAAACTGTGAGGATATCTGAATATTTACTGACATTTCCCTAACGATTCATTTCCTTGGCTCAATCTGTTCAGGATTTTTGTTTTTCCCCAGCTGGAACTTCACACACATGCATTTCAATTTGCATATGTACTAGTTCAGTTTAAGCATAGCTTGAAAAATACATACTACGCTTTTTAGCTCTAAAAAGAAAAAAAAAAAGTCTCTGCAGGTATAACCTCTGCCTTTTACTGCATCCCTCCAAAAGAATAAAACAGCTGCGCTCCATTATTTGCATTTTTTTTGCTGTAAAATTATTCAACTTTCTATTTAATACAGTTTTTAAAAATGAATAGAACTGTAATATTAGCCCAGATTATATGGCTGACGGGAAACCTGCAAACATGATTTAAAGACGCTGCTGAACTTACGGAACATCAATATTAATACG